CATCGTTCAAAGTAACAGCAAAATCATCCCTACCAAGAATGTCATTTAAGCACTTGGATTATTAGCTAACTACAAGAAAAACAGGCAAAAGCCATGCGTAAACTTGAAATAAGGCTGACAGTGCCGCGCCGTACGGTCACTGGCCTGCTTCAGTTCACATTCGGATTCAGTCTTTAAAGGCAGTGAATTGGCAGAATGAGTCCCGTGGCAAAACAAGGTCACAGGGTAGGAGCCCCCATAATGAAACCTATGGGCCAAAGTTCGACCTTTCTTTGCCACTTCCACCCCCGAAATTTCAAAGCAGCGCTCATCTCAGACAGGTTAAGTCCCGCGGGTGAAAAAGTTGTGTCCCGCCGGAATGACTGCGGGACACAAGTAAAATGGTTCGCGAGAAAACCGGGACTCCCGGTTTTTGTTCGGGATAATGCGGCGCGACACGCGGTTTTGTCCCGACATGTTTTCTCGCGATTCGGCCACCGCTGGGACTCCCGCTCTAGACTGCAGTCTCCTGCGGGAGACGCGATATAGCAGCGACCGATCAGCTTCCGGCTGGGCTTTTTCTAGAATTGGTTCTCCTTTGAAAATTTGTACTACACACATCTTACAAAGGTGCTGTGCTCAACACAGAGTTCAGAAACACTCTTTATTAGCATTCGTGACAGAAAAAGAACATTGAAATCACTATAACTAAGTGAACAGAAAAAAACAGGAATGTCGAGATCAATGTGTGAGATTGAATCCATAATTCAAATCGACTTCATATTTTCGATCTCTTCGTCTTGCTCATGCTCCGACTCATTAGCCTGCTCGTGCGCCAAAGAATCTTGCGTGGTAGTAAGGCAAAAACGCTTTTTCTGGGAAAAAATAAATAACGATCTAACACTAAATTGAAAAGTCATATATGAATATTACCGAGGGTGGCGACAGCATCTCCTTATCAGCATCAAAATGGTAGGCGCGCACATCTCCTCTGAACTTCATATTCAATAGATTCATAAAGACTATCTTTGAAAGAAACCCACAAAGCTCTTCCTATAGCCACTCGTGCTAATCCATTAAGCTTCATCCTCGCCTCCGACAACTTGTCAAACGTCTTCGTCCTAGCCTCATCGTCGTTCTCTAGGCCCAGCCAAAATCTAAATCAGTGAGGTATCAAGGGGTAGAAACACTTCTATCTATACCTATTTCTTTGCCGCGCGCATTCGGTAGCACTCAGCAGCAGTTCTTCTGCGTAAAGGCCAACACCATCAAGAACGAAATCTGGAAGATCTATTTTAGAATTTTCAAAGAGACCATCAATCACTCACTTATCAAAAATATGACCAGACTTTCGGGCAGGTCCTGCAGATGCGGAAATCTTCCCTTTTTCCATGGCGTTCTCCATGCGCTGTTGAAAAATGTTATATTCTTCGAAAGATAGCTAGCAATAGCCAAGACATTTGTCAGACTTCGTTTTGCTCAAAAGGGCCCAAAAGAGCTTAAACGTGCTTGATCTCTCTTCACATTCCTCGTCTCTGATCTCATGCGTTCGGCGCTAGCCTAAAAGCGTCAATACGCTCCCCTGATTGTCCCGCGGTAGTACTTGCGTGTCAAGAGAGCGTGCTGGCGCTTTCAGGCTAGCGCGGAACGTGTGAAAGAAATAAAAAGTGTGGAGAGAGATAAAAAAATTTTTGCGCTTCTGGGCGCTATTGAGTGAAGTCTGACTGGTGTTTAAGCATGCTAATGTTGCTGTCTAATGACATGACACTAGCAAAGTGACTCCAGTTTATACCCGTTGCGAAATTTAGGGGTATCATATTTACTACGCATGTTCTAGCTTACTTGTTATGTGCAGTCTGCTACAAGTTGAAAAATATCAATAAGTGCAGTACAGAGCGCGTATTTTTTAACGCAAAGCACGACTCATTGTCGCGTTAATCGCAGCTAGAAGCTCATATTCAACTTGGAATTATGCATGAGCGCCGTACATGGTCTACATATAATTAATTCAGAATACCTACTTTCACGACCTTCAACCCAACGTCCGTCAGCTCGATCCATAGCATACTCGGCATCACGACGGCTGAAAATAACGTTAGGTATCTAATCAGAAGTTGCGAACACAACCACCTTCGACGACGGCAACAGCGTAAATGGAAAAATTGCTGCGAAAGCGGTGCTGCTGCGGTGCAACATGTCACAACATGTTGGCGTGGCTAAGATGTTCTGTCAACATGTTGTGGCATGTTGCAAACATGTTTTTGCCGCGTTGCCAACATGTTACCACACATGGCTGGTATGAGAGCACACCAAGGGGGTAGCAGCATTTGTGGAGGGCGATATACCTGTCTAGATTATACAAGTCAGTCAAAGAGTAAAAAGATGTGAAATCGAGAAAATCCGTCGTGTGCGAGGAAAAACAGCCTGTGTGGAAACAAGAATGAATCGATACTGACGCGCAATAGCGTCAAAATCGATGATCGCGACTCCCGGTAATCTCCCGCCACTTTTTAACTGTCGGGATTGTCCCGAAAGTCGGGACAAAACCGGGAGTCGCGCAAGACAGACAAGAATTCTCATTTTGTGGGCGGATCTCCAACGGGACTTAACTGCAAATGTCTGAGATCTTCTCTCCTCTCCAACCCCGCCCACCCCACGGACGAGTGAACGCGAAGCCCGCTGTGGCGAAGACGCAGAGTCGTCGCAGGACCCTTATGCTCATAGCATTGCGGCATGCGCGCTCTGACCGTGGAAGTCACTCGTCCATGGGGTGGGCGGGGTCGGAGAGGAGAGGAGATGAGCGCTGCTTTCGCGTTGAAATTTAGGGGGTTAAAAGTGGCAGGGGAAGAAAGGACTTTGGCCGATAGATCCCATTATGGGGCTCTTACCCTGTGACCTTGTTTTACCATAAGACTGATTCTGCCGATTATCTGCCGATCCACTGCCTTTAACGGCGGAGTGAGGTCGAGTATACATCAATTCGATCTATTTTTTCCTATTATTTGGAGCAATAATAAATTCCATGATAGAATTCCTTAAAGGTGAGTACTAACACTTCTATATACAAACCTGCAGTTAACAGGCAGAAGGTAACAGGCAGAATAAACACATCACGGAAACGAAAAGAGAAATTAAGAGAAGTCTGTGTGACGGCGCAGACAGTGTAGCAAAGATTCTAAGAACATCACACTCATTGAGCCAGCAGCGCTATATTGAAGTAAGTACTGTTATACCGCGTTCAGGAGCTTAAAATAGGTTTTGCGGAGTCAACGATAGATTTTTTCCAACATCACATATCTTCACATCTGCAGAAACTCGGTGCAAGCACAAATAAAAGTATTCTGTTTGTCCAAAAATGTAGGAAATAGGATTGTGATGGTATGATTAGCTTAAAGAAGGAGAGAGAACACGTTACAAAGTTTGCTTTGGCAGTGAAAGCACCAAGTAGATGACAAAGAAGTAGACTCAAGTTACAGTAGACAGGCAAAATAAATTTTTACCTATGAAGCTTGCAAAAGCTAAAGAATTTGCCTTGAAGAAAAACATGTTAGTTTTTGCCAAATTTGCTAAAACTTTTTTATCTTCACGTTCTGATAGTGGATTACCAGAAGATAAGTACGTTTCCCAAGTGTACAAAAATTCAGGGTGTCCCAAAAATAAGCCTACTGTTTGAATGTATATAACTCTCTTGTTATGTAGTCTTCCAAAAGCTTCAGGCACTATTTTGTAAAACTAGCTTCAACTAAGTTCTGCAGCGTGGAGAAAGTTACGGATCTTTCTTTGTTGCTATAAGATTACGATAGGAACCGTAGAGAGGATTTTGCATCATCAAGGACCATACTTAACCCTAAATCTATAATTTAGGCCAGATAACCCATATAAACTAGTTTCTGAAATTCGTCAAAAATTCAATTTTAAATGGCAAAGTCAGCATGCATGAAAACAGTATTACACAATTTTTCAGAGTTTTCAAAATTGTCTCCGAAAATTTCGAAAGGCCTATTTTACAGCTGCGCCATATGCTGTATACAATAATCGTGCAGTATGAAGAGGAGTCGATAATTCGCTTCATGATGAAGAAATCTGTGAAAGTAGCCCCAAGTAGCTGAAGCTTCTCGCAGTTTATCAAGAGAATTACTAACAATCAAAGTAGCCATACTTTTTGTACCATGGCAATTAATGTGCTGAGTTGGAGCGAAAGTTCTTGCCTAATTCCAATGAAATTCAAAAACTTTTCTGATACCAAGCCTACATCCATCGTCCCGTATGTGAATTTAAATTGCCCGGAAGATCGCGGAGGGCCGCCGTCTAGCTTAAAAAATCTGTTTTCCTTACAAAGCTGTTTATATGTTACTTTGGAATGCTCAAGCCTTCCACGGAAATATAAAAAATTTCTGAAAAATTGTCATTTTCATAGGATAAATCCCCTTATCGTTGCAGTCTTTTGCACAAAGACTGTTGAGGACCGAAATTTAGACATAACGCTTAATTAAGAGACTGTGGCGTTTTTTAGAGCGTCAAAAATTGTGCTGAAAAGTGCAATAATGAGAGAGCTTTCCCTGTGAAATGACAATCTGCAGAGATTTTTGTTCTTGCGTACCCGTACAGAATTAAAGCTTGTCACAATAACGTATTGTTTTTTTGCTGTAAAACCAATGTTGTAGGTTTTTTAATGCTAGCTAGGGGTTCTCCGCGATTTCTTTGCACTATACTCAAAATCGCAGAATTTGTAACGTCATCTCTGAAAGCTTCGTCCACGGTAATTATACCATGGAATGTTACGCAAAAACATCTGTTATGGAGCGTAAAAGTTTATCAGTCATGTTTAAAATACCAAATCCTGAATTTAGGCTTAGTAATTGAAAAGTTATTGAATTTTTCTGAATTATGCAAGAACATTCACGCAAATTATACAGTATTACAATCATTTTTTCTCAAATTCAAAAATAGCGCGATTTTAAATTACTAAAAATAGGCATGCTTGAGGAACTATGCTTACTTATCAACTGTTATGAAGTCACCTTATGCATCAAGAAAGCCATGTCCAGTTGCAGACAAATTGATTCCGCTTCGTCCATCCATACGCCTTCTCCTTTCTTTAGGACGAAAAGTAGTCGCAGATGATCTCCAACTGTGAGTGAATTGAATGTGCAGCTTGCTTGAGGACAAAATCCAATAGGAGGTCGCCGTGCGCAAATCGCGTTTGAATACTGCTCTCCCAACACCGTGATTCTGCCTAAACGTGTGTGACTGGTGGTGTGTGAAAAGTTAAGATAAAAGGGTTATTAAACGCACAAAACCGCGGACTCTTGTGAAAAAGAAAAACGAAACACGAAGACGAAATATTGATAGGCAATTTAGCACACTTGTGAACCTTGAGAAAAAAAGCAATCTTCAAAAAACTTTACACAAAGGAGAATTTAAAACATGTCTTTACAGCTCCAAAAATTCAAAAACAGCGGAAGCCTTAGTCACTTCATTTCAAACCCTAAGGTGAAATAAAATATTATCACACTATTAATTTTACAGCCATAGCAGAACAGACTTTGCTATACCAGATATGTTCTTAGAGATACAAATAGGAAAATGCAAAAAGGTCTTTTCTGTCACACAAACACTGGTTCAGTAGCGTTTACGTAAGTTTAGGTTAAATAGTATTGTAGCACCCATATCTTCATCTATTTATTCCTCTTTTGCTGGAGTGTTTTCACAAAAAAGGGCTGTCAACCCCTCTCCAATCTATGACTTAATAATAACGGGCTAAGGGTGTTTACGTCTGTTTGTCTGTGTGTCTGTGTGTACGTCTGTCTGTCACGAAATTCGTAGAGCGACTTCCATCAAAGATCTTGAGCTAAAATTTTGGTCATAGCACCCTATCAGCATGTAGGTAAACTGTGCAGAAGCAAAAGCCGATCCGATTAGTGGAACCTGTGAAAACTGAGCGCCAAACGGGTCCACGCGACTTTTGGTCCGCCAAAATCTGTCGGTAGTTGGGCTTTTTGCTAAGTCGTGGATTTGTTCAGCAAGTAAATACGAAAAACATTGACTTCAGCTCAAAAAGTAAGCAGAAAGTCAATCTTTACACAAAAATGGTGCCAAAAAGATGTAAGTGAGCAAATTGTCGATTTGCCAAGATTTTTCTATAAAAATTGAGAGGATTTTTGAATAGATATGTAGCCCAAAGTGGTGTTTATCCTTATGGCGAATATAAAGCCAAAATAAGTTCAGTAACCCATTTAAAATCGCATTTGTTTTTCTGCGGGAAAATTTTTTCTCCCAAAATTACCAATCTTACATGGAAAAGCACTAAAAATGAATGGTTGTTTACAATTCATTCGTGATGTTCAGCATAGCGCGGTGAGTTTCAAAGTCATTATTATGCGATCACGAAGAAGGCACGGATAGTAGAGCCAGTGCGAACCTCTGCGAAGCAGAGTTGACGCACTGGTACCGAAATATTTGCTCAAAGATTTTACGTAGTTTGACCACTAGCATCACACCTATAGTACTGTATTTATAGCGCATCGTATAATTTTTTCAAAAAAAGTTCAGGTTTAATTCACGATACGCCATCACCGACGCTGCAGTAGCGTTAGGGCTGCCTCCCGGCTGTACCATAGGGTCACGCAGAGTCATAGGGGCCACGACATTTGTATGCGACAACAGTGGCACAGGCGCCCGCTGTCAAAGCACATACTACCGATGGCGCTTCTACATTACACAAAGGGACAACAATTTAAAATATCCTTCAAACGCAATGCCCTTTACCAGTTTTCTGCACTCCTCACAGAAGCGCAATTACCTATCGGCACGTTCGTCCCTCGATTTCGCTGCCGTCTTCACTACTTTTGAGGAAGTGCAAAAAATGCGTCAATGATGTATTCGAATAGCTAGACTCAGTCTGTGTTTCGCGCGCAAGATCTTATATATCTCAGAAGCAATTCGCTAAATGCTCCGAGCATGTTAAAATGAAGCTGACATGGCAGTCACAGGAAAAGTTGGACATCGATATGAGGTAGAAAACAGACAGAATGTTTTTTTGCGATACTTTCGGGTGCAAGCACCAAAAAAATCGCAAAAATATGCATCATTATCAATTCTTCGTAAAATCATTTTTTGAAACTCTTCATCAAAGCTCTACGGAATTGTTTTTGCCATTTTCAATTTTTACAACTACTCACTTTATCACCATCTGCATGAAATGATCAATTAAAGCGCGCTAATTTTCTTGAGAGGATCGACGTGATTGCTATCTAGAATTCTAACAAAATATCCTGCATTTATATAATCACAAAGAAATTATGTGAGCTGAAAGTGTCATTACTCTCAAGCTGACATTTTGGGTGGCATTTACCACTCAAATGTGGAGAGAAAAATCCGAATGCAACCCATCTCGAGCAACGATAGTCAACAGCTTTGCAGGAGGATTTCAGGGAGTACAGCAAAACCAAATACTGAAAGCAGTTGAAAAAAGACGAGGTTTTAAAAAATGCCAAAGCGACAGCTTTGAATGTCACGTGCCGCTGACGCACTACTAAAAGGAGACGGGACTCGAACATCTTGCCCATAGAGGACAGAATCTATCGCGAATCTATCCACTCATTTTTCTCTCATCAACGCTAGTGCCTATGTCCGTTGTCCCACTGGAGAAGGTTTTGGAAGTACCATCAAAATTCTACTAGCTGAAGTGCGCAGGCCACGAAGACGTCCATGGCTCCAGAATCAGGTCATCTCAGTTTTTTTTAACTGCAAGCCCCGGAGGACGACGTCTACACGACATTTTCACGTCGCATTTAACATCTTACTTCCGAAAAGAAGACGACTCCATTGTACCGCTCTCTATAGCAGCCTAATTAGTGCGCGCTTCTGATTGGTCAGCGGCAGCGAACCGGTGAGAGCCCGAATGTCATCAAAGACTGAGATGTGCTGAACAGAACAAGTTGCGCAAACGCATCCCCACAAAGAAAAAATTTAAAAAAAACCTCGCGACGAAAAACGCAAGATCGCACACCGTTAGCTCTGCGGCAACTAATTAGCTCCAAGACGGAGGGATGCAAAAGGGTGTACACTCTTCCGAAAGGAAAGTTTCCGACCAATGAAGGATTGAAAACTGTCCTTCTCATCAAAAAAGGAGATCGAGAAAGTTTTCAGAGCTAATTCCTAATATAATTGTTGAGTGTAATGAACAAGCCTATCACAGAAATTATCCTCGCTTGCATGTCTAAAAACTAGATGAAACCTAGTCCCAAGAGCAGGCTGCACTTCGCAAAAGAAAATTTAGCTGCATGAACACATCCAGGTGATTACGAGAATTATCGAATTTCGCCAAAATCTTAGTCGGAAAAAAATTGACAAGCAGCGAAAATGCAGCTCCATTGACCCGCGACAGTATAAATTGAAAGGAGGTCCGATATAGACAAGGAGACAGCTTGCCAAAGGTGTTCACCGCGATCGTACAGTGGGTGATGAAGACACTGAACTAGGACGAGAGAAGTAATAGAAGATTGAAAGGCACTTCTTTAGTGGCAACCTCTTCTTACGTGTATCTTGAACGTCCGATGAACATGAGGAACGACTTGAGGGAAGAACTTACCAAGAGAAGAAGAGCAGCCTGTCCGCCTTTGGGTTCTGAAGGAAGCCATCGACGAACTGATAGACCAAGAGCTTCGAGCCCACCTGTTGAACTCAACCCTTCTTGAGGCGTTACGCAGCTAAGACTGTAGCCACGTGGAGAACTCTACGGACTGCTTGAACGCAATCTTCTGGAGATGGCTCAACGCAAACGACAACTTGTCGGATTTTGCAGGTTAAAGGTTATAAGAATATGCCGTCTTCGTGACCCAGCGGAGTATGTTGCGAAAGCGAAGCATTGATGGGCCGATAGCGTCATGCGAAGAACGAACTACGGATGGACACTAAGAACATCAGAATGGATTTCATGCAAAATCCTTAGAGATTTTCTTCAACAGAATGGCAGACGTGTTCGTGCAAAGTATGGATCAGCTGAGACTTGTGATGCAGCTACCGACGACAACTGCGAAAATTGTGGTTGTTTGAAACGGGACAGAAACCATTAAACCTTTGCGCTGGCACCCATGCCTATCTATTATATAATTTTTCTAATAAGATCTCATTTCTTGTTCTTGTTGTCCACTATGCAACTACATACCAAGTTTAGGGCCATCTCCGCGCGAACGAGCCACTTTTCAAAATTACATTGATAAATAATATTCAAAAAAAGCTTGCCATAACCCTCACAAACACAATCTGCTAACCCTTGCTCAATTATATGCTAAATTTCGTGCACATACTTGTGCCTGTAAATAAAGCAGATCTTTACTACTTTGCACAAAACGTGATTTTTTCTTAAAAAAGCGTTTTGAAGAATTTCGTGTTTGTGTAGGTCGATGTAACAACTTGCTAAGAAATAGGTATATGCGCGTGAGCGTGTTCGTATTCACGATACCCTTTTTACTTTTCTCACATTATCAGCTTCTAGCTTGACATTTTTCCACCCTCGTGCAGAGCCCTGAGCCTCATCAGTAGAATGGCACCAAGAACAGTTTGTATAGAGACATCGGATCGTGTTTGATATTTTTATGGAGAATAATGTGATCAGAAGCCGCAGCAGTTTTCTTCTGGCTGCACAAGCAAAAACCTGCCAGTTGCATGCTATTGAGCTGGCATCGACTTACAATTTTCCCACCCCATATGAATATGAAGTGCAAAAAAACTTTGCCAAATTCTAGCATATACAAAAAAGAGTGGTACTTTTCCGTTATGCGGACCCATTTATTCAAGGAAGGATAATGCTTTTTTTCTTGTACCATATTTGCTCCTAAATTCACAGGAAAGAAGGGAGTGTCAACCTTCGCCACGTGTCAAAATAAATTTGACATGTCATCCACATGTTTAGCAGGTTTTACCAATAGTTTATATAGCCCTACCTACTAACTCAAGTTCAATCGATTTTTTTTCAATAATGACCCATTTTCAAGTGAACAATTTCAAAAATATGTATCATTATGATTATAAAGTTATTCTATTATTAATGAACAAACTGGACTTGCTCAGAATA